ATGTAATTGCCTTCATAACGTTGCTGACCATGGTGAACCTGGGCATGTTGGTGCATGAATTGCTAATGGCTCTTCTAGGCGTAGCACGCCATTACCTTGCACGTTGCCACGTAGTGAGCATGTACCACCTGCCACGTGTTGCCCAAGATGCACGCGGCTACATCAAGACCGAGCAGGACTTCGAGAAGGTCATGAGTGAAGAAGAAAGCCAAAAACGCATTGGAGCTTGGCTACACAAATTCCGAGTACGAGGTGATGATCACACACCGAGAAGCCGATCATGCCCCAACCCAATCGACATTGAAAACATCACCCTTTCAGCTCCTGGAAGAAGAGGAAGTGCGAACCCAACAAAGACAAGTACGCTGCGTGTCCGATATGCAAACTTGCTACAAGAACGGTGGCCCAATTCTCTCAGCGTGTGGCCAACGGAGAGTACGCAGACCTGGACTTCCTTTACGTCTGAAGGCATACACTGTTGCCCCCGCTGTACATGCGGGATCGTGAACTTGTGGCGTCACACAAGCAAAAGACTACATCCTGATGGTTTTCCAAAACAAACGTTCAACAACAAGCGCAGGTGGCAGGAGCACGGCCATGGGTCTCCTGCTAGCAAAGACGCCCATGGTTCGTGGTGAAGCAGTTGGAGACGTCCAGCTGTGTACTTGCAGTGATATGTGATGTGCTGCACTATCCTCGCTGTGCATGGATACCGTCCTCGCTGTTGTTGTTCCACTACCTCAACTACAATGCAGTATTTCCAAGATGATTTTGGTTTTGCGTGATGCGTGGGGTGCATTCTTTGAGCTGTGATCACGACATGAGACCTTGAGCCCATCAAGCCTGGATGTCTTGCGTTATAGTCGGTATGCGTGCAGAGCAGTAATGAATGGACATGGGCGATGACATCGGGAAGGTTCGGACCATGTCATGAGGAGAACGTGCTTGAGCAAGGTTCGCTTGAGCATGACCAACATAAGGACATGACGGATGTGCAGTAGGACTACATGAATACGGTCGAGCATGATTGTGGTGATGCGTCAGTGTAGTTAAACTTGAAATTCAACTGGTCTCACTTGCCTAGCAAGGAGAACATGATCAACTGCTTGCTTGTAACTTGAGATGCTTGATAAATTGATAGACATATTCCATATAATACTTCACTCGTGCTCTTCTACCTCATCTTTCACGGGCTCTTCCACTACTTCCTTGCAAAGCATGACATTCCCGGGAAAGCATCATGGTGACGCCAATGTGGAACACTAAAACATTCAGTCAGTGTGTGTCAGTGTGTGTCGGTGTGTGTCAGTGTGTGTGTGTGTGTGTGTGTGTGTGTGTGTGTGTGTGTGTGTGTGTGTGTGTGTGTGTGTGTGTGTGTGTGTGTGTGTGTGTGTGTGTGTGTGTGTGTGTGTGTGTGTGGTTGTGTGTGTGTTTGTTGTGGTGCAGTGTGTGTGTGTGTGTTTGTTGTGGTGTGTGTGTGGTGTGGTGGTGTGTGTGTGTGTGTTTGTGTGGTGTGTGTGTGTGTGTGTGTGTGTGTGTGTGTTGTGGTGTGTGTGGTGTGTGTGTGTCGTGTGTGTGTGTGTGTGTGTGTGTGTGTGTGTGGGTTCAAGCTATGCTGTGTGTGGGTGTTGTGTGTGGTGTGTGTGTGTGTGTGTGTGGTTGTGTGGGTGGGTGTGGGTGTGTGTGTGGGTGGTGTGTGTGTGTGTCATTTGGTATCTGTTGTGGTGTGGTGTGGTGTGTGTGTGTGGTGTGTCGTGTGTCGTGTGTCGTGTGTTGTGTGTCGTGTGTTGTGTGTCGTGTGTCGTGTGTTGTGTGTTGTGTGTTGTGTGTTGTGTGTTGTGTGTTGTGTTGTGTGTTGTGTGTGTGTGTGTTGTGTGTGTGTGTGTGTGTGTGGTGTGTGTGTGTCGTGTGGGTGTGTGTGTGTGTGTGTGTGTGTGTGTGTGTGTGTGTGTGTGTGTGTGTGTGTGTGTGTGTGTGTGTGTGTGTGTGTGTGTGGTGTGTGTGTGTGTGTGTGTGTGTGTGTGTGTGTGTGTGTGTGTGTGTGTGTGTGTGTGTGTGTGTGTGTGTGTGGCTGGCACACCGCTGTACATGTGGTGTGTGGCACACCGCTGTACACGCGGATCGTCAACAAGCACTGCGTACGAGATCGAAAAGAAGCACGAATTTATCGTCCAACAAGAAACTTGCATGTCATTTTCAGCAGGGGGCAGGAGCACCTTGATCAGACTCCTGCCAACGAAGACGCTGATCAAGGTGGTGATGCATCCAGGGACGCCTGGGTGTGTACCTGCAGTGATATGTGATGTACTGCATTATCCTCGCTGTGCATTGGTACCGTTCTCGCTGTTGTTCAACTACCTCAACCACAACGCAGTTTTCAACATGGATTTCGTATTTTGCTTGGCATGTGGGTGAATTCTTCGAGCCGTGAGCATGACATACCCCAAACCCCAGAAGACCTCGAGCCCATCAAGCTTGAGTGGAATGTGATGCTGCTAACTAGTGTGATGTGCACAGCAGAGCAGCTGAGCAGAACTGCGTGAGCATGTCGTTTGAGCATGTTGATGGAGCATGTCCAGCGAACGAGCATGAACATGGATGAGAGCATGGAGAAGGTTCGGAACATGAGTGTTAGAGCATCTGAGCATGAACTGTGGAGCATCTGAGTGTGATGAGCAGAGATGTGTGAGCACGAAGTAGGGAACTTCTGAGCCTAAATTGTGGAGCATCTGAGCGCGATGAGTAGAATTGTGTGAGCATGAAATGGGGAATCTCGGAGCATAAATTGCGGAGCATCTGAGCGTGATGAGCAGAGTTGCGGGAGCATGAAGTGTGAAGCATCAGAGCATGAATTGTGGAGCATCTGAACGTGATGAGCAGAGTTGTGTGAGCATGAATTGTGGAGCATCAGAGCATGAATTGTGGAGCATCTGAGCGTGATGAGCAGAGTTGTGTGAGCATGAATTGTGGAGCATCAGAGCATGAATTGTGGAGCATCTGAGCGTGATGAGCAGAGTTGTGTGAGCATGAATTGTGGAGCATCAGAGCATGAATTGTGGAGCATCTGAGCGTGATGAGCACAGTTGTGGGAGCATGTCAAGCGAGTATGGAGCATGTTTTGATTGCAGAAGACCCTAAACCCTATATGATATGTCATATAAACCTTCATTCGCGACCCTTCTACCTCATCACTTGCGGGCTCATCCACTACCTCTTGCTCGAGCATCTCTACCTTCGGAGCATCTCCATCTACCAGTTTATGTGGAAGCACTAAAACAAAAAGTGTGTTATACAGCCAGCCCGCCCTCGCCTTGGGCCGCGGGTGTAGGTGGAGCCTCACTCCTACGCGTTCATGCTGCCTATGTTAGTCTTCACTTCGGTGCGGACGCATAGGATAATCCAAAAATGTGAGCTCACCTGGCGAGTGAGAATGAAAAGTCCTATCGTTTTCGATGCACTAGTAACATGCCGGGCCCATTAATGTGGGTGCCAACGATGCTCAGCAAGACGGCCGGCGTGCCGTATGTTCCTCGATTGTTAGTCATGATCCAGCATCCGGAGAGGTTAGCAACTTTCTCTTTTTTGCTACGTCTTTGCCGTAATGGTTTGATAGGTCAGAGTAGTGTGTAGCACGTACCCCAGCTACATCGGACTCGCGCCATGGACGGCTACCAGTGGTACCAACAAAGTTGGCAGCGGCAGCCGCCTCCTCCTCCTCCTCCACCAGAATATCCTCCTGAGACGCCACACCCGACGGCACACTACCCAGGAGACGATCAAGGATGGCAAGTTCGATGGAGTCAACATCCACCAGCTGGAGGAGTACGTCCCCAATACCAGTGGCCACCCCACCAGGATGCAGCATCCTCGCGGCCACAATGGCTAGCACCAGGCGCGCTTTTGGATCAAATACAGTTCGGTCCTCCGACGTATCGTCGTGACGATGCAGCAAGATACTCACCTTCGAGTCAAACGACAGGCCAACACTCACCAACGACCAACCAGAACATCCATCTTCGCCACCAACATGCCGGTCCTCAACAACATGGTCGCAACGATCACCCGGAAATACGCCAAGCTCCACCACACCCACAACCTCACGCCTACCCTCACGCTCCATGTCATTGGCAAAATCCAGATCCACCCCCGTATCTTCAGCATGGTCAGCAATATCATCAAGGCCAAGATCTACGACGAGACCACCATCCTCGAGACCTCGCACACCATCATCAACAACAAAGCACTCCGCAGGGTCGACCAGAATGGAATCAAGCCACACCTCGGCCAGCGCACCATCTTCAGCAACAAACGAATGTTCAACAAAGAGCAGACCCTCCCGTGTTCGCGCAAGCAGAGCTCCATCCTCCAGTCCGAGAGGGACTTCACCCCACCTCCCTACTAAGTACCCCTGGCACCTATGTACCTCGAGATCCAGCCGAACACGGCCAACCACGTCAACAAGATTGTCCGGCTGATACACAACATCCAGACCAAGGACACAGACCTCAGCAAGATCCCACCCAGGTATATGCTCACCGAGATCCGCAACGAGACGCAGCATGGCAGGAGCCTTCGTCACAGTCCAGACCGTTTCCAGCACATCAACGACTCGCACCCGCCCAGACATCGGACACACACCAAGATGACCATCAACGAGGCCAACCTGTCCATCATGGAGAACAGCAACAACCTCGTCAAGCCCCAGAACCACCCTCTCAATCCACGCCACTGACGACACCATCCCAGATGACGGAGATGTTCACGTGCATCACAGACATGCTTGAGAAAGTCGTGGCACCGCTACTTCAGAATCATGCCAGTGACCAACACAGAGCAGAGTCCTTCACCACACACCACACCAGAAGTCGCAGCAGAACCACCTATGAGCCCAGTCCAGCCCATCCCAGGAGCACCAGATCCACGCGGCACACACACATTCCCCAGTCACCCCACCGCCCCGCACCCAACGACCCCAACCAGACGGGCAAAACCCGCCGGCCATGCAGTCGAAGCAGATCGAGATCTACACGTGGACATTCGGAAAAGGCCAGATTCCGAACATCGAGAAGGCGCTCTTCTCCAGATCGTCATCACCGTGCATCCGAACCAACACCATCCCAACACAGCCCCTCCCCAAGCAGCACCAGGCGCAGAAGCACAACCGTCGTTCTTACCCCTGCGCTCGATCGATCCGCTTCACATACGGCGACCCACAGAGACACACCTGGTTCTTCATCCAGACCACCCCAGGCACCCTCAGAAGCGTCCAGGGCTACGTCACACAATGCAAGGCCAGAAACCGAATCAGGCTTCAAGCCCGAAGAACGTCGACGCATGAAGCAGCTCTACCAGGACGCCATGGCAGACCCCTACAGGCTCGCGTGTGTGTCCGAGATGTACCACCAACAGGATCCACCACCGCCCATGGACCCTTCCAGCCAGGTTTCCGGTACATGAACGACATCATGCACGACATCGCCGACCTCACCCACGGACAACCACTATGGCTTTCCAACCCAGCACAGATGGCCATCCGCCAAGTGGCAAGATCCTTCGCTTGCTCTCACTACAGGATCACACCCTTCCTCGGCCAGTTCAGAACTCACCCCAACACGGACACGGTGATCCACCCTCAGCTCATCAACATCGACCCCTACAGCAACAAGCAGGACACGACTGATTATCCACTGGTGCAGGTCCTCGTCATACCACTACGCACCACCAAGCCACCACCTCACGCACACGATGCAAACAGTCCATCACCTCCCACACACAAGGGCGCCTACAAGACATACTGGTCACACGCCACCGACGAAGCAGGCCTATGGCACATCTTGCGCGAGGGCTTCGTCAGACCCACGAACTGGGAGCCCACCAACTGGGATGACGACAACCTCCCCTGCAACAAAGCATACCTACCCCATCGTGGGTTCAACGGATTCCACCAGGACAACGCACCCGACAACCTTCAACTTGGATTTTGCCACACCAACCTCCGCAAAGCCCTCCGCCTCCCAAAAGCCAGAGCAGGTCCTGCCGAAGGAGAAATAGCCACGGGCTTCACCATATTTGGACGCGTCACATCGTCCACCTCACAGCACAGCCACATGCGGCAGAAGGGAGGAGGATGGACCACTCAGAAGGCGCTCATCGAGGCACACCTCAACGACACCAGTCGAGACAGTCGTAACTTCACCACCGTCTTCTCCCACACCGAGAAGAGCGTCATCGATGCACAGTACGCTGAGATCACCGGGATCACCGTCAACATCTTCCACCCCAGACCCTCACCCACCACACCACCTCCAGTCCCCAACAGATCCCGAGACAATGACCGCAGACGACGACGTTGACAACTACCCGCGCCGGCAGCTCCTTCTTCCTCATCGTGAAGACCAAAGTGACGATTTCTTTTTCACCTTCACGAAGCCTCGCTCGTGCAGCACCAGCACGCTAATCACAGCATGTCAAAATGGAAGGCACCAAGCGGAGCAGGTCGTAGATCGGATGGAGTACACCCTAACCCCACCACACATGATTCTGCAGTTCCGGACTGTTTGAAATCTCTGCAGCGAGCTTTCTGCATCTAGCCCAGTGTGTTCGCCATTCACGGATTGCAATCGGATGCATGTAGTGCAGCGTTACAGCTGAGTGAGTCTGCCTTCTCTTTTCAGCACATGAAATCACGCGTGAAGTGAGAATTCGTGCACTGCTGTGATGCTTTTGACCTTGACCTTGAGAGACATGTTCTGGCCACCTTTAGGAGTCGCCGGTGCCGATTACGTTTCGCATGCAGTTTTGCTCTTGACTATAACGCCTCATTAGACGTTCGCCTTCACCATGGATCCGGCAGAAGACATGGAACACGCCCTTCACCGATGGCTCAGCGGACAAGTCGCCGATCATCAGGTTGTACAAGTACTAGGACCCCAAATACTACAAAGATGGCAAGCACTCCTGGTGAGCATCGTGGAGGAAAGCGACACCCCCATCATCACGGACACGTCGTCGATGCCAACCAGACCATGGACGACCAACCTGCACCCATCCCAGTACATGGAGATCCTAGGCACCAATGAAGAGGGCGTCAGCAACACCGTCAATAGGTTTCGACAGCAAACCATGAAGGCCAAGATACTGCACCAATCCAGACTACGAACGGTGCAGTCCGACTACTCTGAGATAATCGGCCAAGGACGACTACACGACGTGGAAATCAAACCCGGTCGAGTTCTTGCCTCCGCAGAAGCCCACGGGACCATGCCCCACACCCTTCCCCCTCCAACCTCCTCACAAGAACATGCCAGCCAATTTCAGAGATGGTATCCGAATCGACAAGCACCACCGCAGGACCACGCGACCGGCATGTCCATGGACTATGCGGGCACGGACCAACCTATCAGAGACCTACAAACCTGGCACACGGGAGCCTTCCCCCACATCCCCGTACCTCCGGATCGCACAGTACCTCCTCCCGAAGAGCAACATCACAGAGAAGACAGATCCAGGTCGCCACTTCGAAACCCTGGTGTCCACACGATGGGCATGCACGTCAGCAGCCTGCAACAGCTGCTCGACAGCTTAGAGCCAGCCGTGGACACGCAATCCGTCATGCAACATCACGACCAAGGCCGGCTACTTCCAGTTCTACCAGTGGATCAGATAGAAAACGCGCAGCCACAGTGGTGGAGACGACCGGACCGATTAGACCGGAACTTGTTCACATGCTACCTCCGGTTGAACCACACCATTGGGAGCTCCAAGAAGATGGCACACCCGTCATACGATTTTTCCCCAACCGCATGACCTTCCTCCCGAAGCAGCTGGTGCACAAGTTCCCCTCCCTCCAACAAGAACTTCAAAACAGCATCCTCATGTCCTGGGACCAGTACAAAGCCGACGCATCCACACACGTCCAGATGGCACGCTACGCCGACTCCATCGACATACCCCAACCCAAACCCTTGCACCTACGACTACGTTCCCTTCTACATGAAATTCTTCAGGAACCGCTGCAGTTCGCATCCTACAGTTCACAGCCATACAATTCAGGATGCTCGTACGCAAGGGCACCTGCCCAGATTTGGCCACAATGCCCAACCTCTACCAGCTCTGGCACTGGGGATACATCAAGTTCCGAAGTGTAAACCCGGAGCTGTGGATGTTCACACACAACTTCGCGGATCCCACAACCATGGGCAGGCTGGAACAGACCTGCGCCCACTTCCACAGAGTTTGGTCAGCACACGTCCTACCCAGCACGGCAGGATTGGTACCCCTACTGCCGCCCATACAAGACCTCTGCGTGGTGCTCCATTGTTCGGCGCCACCCTTCCACCAGCCAATGCTCGCGAAGTACAACACCATCTCGGGCATTATGACCATGCAGGCGGTCAGCAACATAGTCTTTCGCAAGGCTCACCATGACTTACAGCTCCACAGAACGTGGCCCAGCATCGATTCCCACACAGGATGCGATCAAGGAATCAACACGTTCCAGATTCCGGACCACTGGCCAACCAACATATGGACCGACACGCTGCAGAAGCTCACTCACACGACCAGATGGACGCCACCCTCCACGCCAGACATCCGCACCAGGCTCACCATCGACCACCTGTACAGCGACGTACTGCCCAACATGATATGGACGCCGAGATTCGCCCTGCCCCTCACCTCACAACAGATTCACGCAGTCCAAGTTTCCACCCAAGCAGCACATGTACTACATCGACTATGGGACCCACTCATTTTCACCTTCACGGACCCGTGCCACACGATCGACGGTTTAGACGCCAAGCGAACAAGCCGACCTGATCTGATCGGAAAATTTCACCGACTGAGTTCAGGAGGACAAACACCAATGTTGGCAATCCCAGCCAGCAGCGTGATCGAGACACAGTTGGACTGGGCCTGGTTCCAATCCACTACGGCATCCAACTCCCCGTTCAGATGGCTGTCCCTACCCCTTGCAGTCATAGGACACCCCAGGACGCACTCGGTCTTTTGGATCCACCGAAAGACATCAGGCCAAGTACAACGTCACCAAGCTCTACATGTACACCAAACCACGTGGTTGGTGGCATCAGGAACACCCACGGCGTTCCAGGAGGATCCAGACATCACGCAGAATCAAGCACAGGCCACCCCAACCCAGGAGGAATGGACGGACTTCATCAACCAACGACAAGCTCTACTAGAACTTCAACGATGCACCACCGTTGACCAAGAAGCTGGACAACACCAATGGAGGTATGTGAAGTGATGAAGCCTCAGCAACGACAGTTTCACGATGGAACGAACTCAGCCACATGCACCCGTTGAGAGAAGTTGCAGCCCTATGCACCCCGCGTCCTGCATGCAATTTTCAGAACACGCCTCTTGTGCAAAGGTAGTGTTTCATGTGCTCGACACAGCCGTTGCGTGCCTCACGTAGGCTTCCTCACTAACAGTTGGACATATAAGCATCCCTAGACCCCTACGCCATGGCAGACAGACGTGATCGCCACGGTCAACGACATGCTCAATGGCATACACACTCGCACAGACGAGGCAACGGTTCCAGACGATCCAGATCACCCAGAAGATTCAGCACGCCAAGACCATCCAGGAGGCACCGCACCAGATCGACATCACCGAGATCCACGCGCACATTCCACTCCAACCCACGTCCTAGCTCGGGACCAGCTATGACCCCCAGATCCACATTTACAGCGTCCCATACGCTTCCTCGCCACGGACAAGATTCGGTGTACAACCCACGACGAGATCGCCACCGTCAAGATCAGCGACTCCCGGTGTACGGGAACTCTCCCATCCGATCTACTCAATCTTCGGCCCCTACCCCAGCCCGCCCTAACCCCAAAGAACGCGCCAGGGAAGTGCTCCAGGACATCTTCTACCAGCCCAACAACGACCTCCCAGACCATTGGGACTCCAACGAGATGCTCTATGACAAAAACCAGTATGGAGGAGTCCAGATGCCCAGAATCGTACCCACCACATCATCGGCCAAGAAAAACGGCACAGCAGGTATGGATCCGTTCGACATCAAAGTTTGGCAAGTGGCCTTCGAGGGCAAGCACAATTATATGCTGCGACAACTCGCCAACGGAAGATGGACTCAGTTCCAAGGCCACAAGTCACTACCTGATGCCGTGCTTCACATGAAACTCTCCACCTTCATCCGCAACCGCAACATTCGCATCGAGACCATCGCAGTCAACTATTGGAAATGGAAGAACGGCACGGAAATGCTACCCACCGAAGTTCAACGGAAGGAAGCCATGGAGATGCTCGTCGCCAACATTGGAGACCTCCTCATGCGCTACAACAACCCTCCTGCTGTACAACCCCAAGTACGTGCCCAACTAGCACAGAAAGAAGCGGAGATAGCAGGATTGCGCGCACAGCTCGCAAGTCAGAACCGCAAGACACCCTTCCCGCAGGGCATCATCCCACCTACCCAAACCCAGATGCCCAACTTCTTCGAGACCGGCACCAACAAGGCTCCACCATCATCCGGCAACCCTCTACATCCACACCGAGATCCGTGCGCTCCGGCGAATGCCCACAACCTCGTGCAGGTAGTCGACGCCGACGACTCCCAAGCATCGCAACCAATGGCATCCGAATCGGCCGAACAAGCACCTCTACACCCTCCCCCACTGCACCCCCACCCGCCTACCGTGGAGGACGAGACGGACCCCAACTTCATCGGAGGTGTCACCACACCCTCCTACCACCCCAGCCCAAGATCCCCGGTCCCAGGTGAACCAGCATCCAGCCGCCCGTTCGAATCACCAGACGGCAGACAAAACAAAGTCTTCCTCGACATCGTCAATGCATTCGACGACGACGAACTCATCCAGTACCTTAGCGACATCGCTCCGAAGCGAGAGCCAGGTGAACAGGTCAAAATGGACAAGATTCGACAAGTACATGAACTCACCAGCTCACTATCAAGATACGCGGCCCCTTCGGCAAACACCTGGATTTCCACTCTCAAGATGTCTGGACCCAAACTACAGGCCCAGAAGGAGATCGCCAAGAGACTCACGGTGTATGTGGAGGCACATCCAAAAGACCAGGCGTACCAGGACATGGTGAAGGCCTGGTCTCTCCCCAAGCTCACCAACACAGCAGGGACGGCAGCAGTCGCCATCGTGGTGGCAGGCCTCGCTTCATACCTACATTGACTAGGAACCCTACTCGCAACGCAGCAGCCATCGAGACGACTCAACCGCATACACTCTTCCATGGTGAAGTGTATGGACATCGTGAAAAGCGTGGTCCAATACACATTTCACCGCATACCTTTCTTACACAGATACTCCACTTGGCTCTACGGCAAGTTTTGGCTCACCGCTCTTTGCCATTTTCCTCGACGCCAAGTAGATCAACGCAGATTGTTACGCCTCAAGCAGTTTCACCGTATCACCCCGGAGCTCTACACATTCGAATTTTTCAATCAGCCGAACGCAGTGTACTGGAGAGTCGATCACGCACGCATGTTTGAGCACCTCTACATTGGCAGCACCTCTACGAAAGTCACAGTCAGAGAAGACAACCGGCGCAGAAAACACAACGCGCTTGCGGCTCAAAAACTGGTCAACGCAGAACCAGCCATACACTACTGGCACACCACTGACACATACTGGGAGTTTGTTCCGATCAAAGTCCGCAGCGTCGACGACGTGGCAGAGTTGCACATGATCGAGCAGGCAGACATCGCGGACCTCCAACCCTCCCTTAACGCCCCCTTCATCTACAAACACTTCAAAGAAGACACAGGCTACACCTTCCAACCCAAGATCATCAGCGACGTCAACGTGCTGGCAACCAAGCTACGTGCTCGACTACATCGACACCTCGGAAGAAAAACCAGACATTGGCGATCCGTCAAGGTGCAGATAGACAACAAAACACGCATGTGGGGCCTCCTCACCGCCCTGTGCTCCACCACGGCTCTACGATGGAAAACCACCAGAACGTTGATGAGCGGCAACTTCCCGGCCGAGAACATATACACGCTACTACGAATGACCAACATCCTTGAATCCCCATACAAGGAGTTCTGCAAAGCAGCATTGGTCAAAGCACTCGAGAAGAGACATATGGAGACCCCCAACATACGACCCCTCGTCGCCAGTTTGCTGCCACCTATGGAAGAATGCCAGCACCATCTTCGAGACGTCCTCCGCGCCATCATCGCGAGCCACTACCACGAACTATGCCCACTACATGTCCCGAAGACCACGGTGGTGGCCAAACCAGGATCCAGCATCGAGGCCCAGTGCCACAACTGGCAGCGAATGTGTTTTGGCCCCAAACTCGCGAGAAGATGCACTTGCCCCAACCCCACACAGGAACTCAGCGAACACCAAGTCATCGACCTTCAGACCGCACACGCATCACCAGAAGACCCTCTACACCACATCGTCACCTACTCGTCCAAGACGGGCACCTTCCCGGAACCAAACACTTGGATTTCACAGACGACGGAAGACGTTCGCAAATGGTGCAGACGCAATAGACTCTCCATCCCATCGAGGGAGGCCGTGCAGCTCGCCCTTGCCCCGGCGGCAAAGCTCAGCCACAACGTGAAGGAGGAACACGTGGACCACCACATGGTCAAGCGCCTCAAAACCCAGTACAGCGACTACATCATTGCGTGCGAGGACCACCACCCCCACAAGATGCTAGCGTACTGCCCCCTCCACTTCCAGCAGCTCATGGACAAGATGTACGGAGACCCTGAAGTCTTCACCAAGATCAACATCACCCCGACCACAGCGGCGCACAATGCGTGGCACCAACTACCCCAAAGCATCAAGACAAGATACCCCTGGGGCATCAACCCAGCCCGCAAAACCAAAATCCCGGTGTCCTACATCTTTCCCAAGCGCAAGAAGGGCTTCATCAAGTCGCGGCCCATCGTCTCGTTCGCCCAGCACTTCGCCAAGAAGCTCTTTTCCACGGTCGCCAAGATCATCACCAACATCATGTACATCTCTTTTCCCCAAGCACTGCAACAGGACAACTCTTACAAGATCTTCAAGGAGCTTCACACGTTCATGAACTATAACAACGCCGACATGCACATGCAGATCGCGGACCTCGCGGGCTTCTTCACCAGTGTCCCGCAAGAACGCATCCTCCAAGCCCTCACCATCACCATGCACAAGTATTTCGCCAACTCCCAGCACGGCTTTGACACATGGCAGGACGTCTCCATCACCTACGACCCCAAAAAGACGCTCAGGACGGCCAGAACGTTCAATGGGAAGTACAAGCAGATTAACCATGGTCGACACACCGTCTACATGCACGACATCTGGGAGATCACGCAGTACGTCCTGAAGTGCAGCTACTTCACGTCCCAACAACAAGTATACAAGCAGACCAGAGGTAGTCCAATGGGACACCCCATGTCACCAGTGCTGTGCCACATGGTCTGCTGCGTTGAAGAACATCAGTGGCACCAGACGTATCGCACAGCCCTGGCATCATGCGCAATCCTCGACCGCTTCACCAAGAGATACGTTGACGACCGCATTTGCATCTTACCACAAAGCTGGGCTCACACAAATCCTTGGAATGAGTTTCTTCAAACGGAGTTCTACGGCCCACCCATATTGTTGGAAGAACAAGAAGAAGCCAACTACCTCGGATGCAACATCAACCTACACCGCAAAGAGGTTCGCCTCATCCTCCCCTCCCAGACACACCAGCTCCTTTCGCCACGGGGATCCACACCTATGGTCCACCGCGCCAGTGCATACCGAACGAGACGCCACATGATCTCAAAGATAGCGTACCCCGAGCTGGTTCGTCTACAACAACTTCGCGAACTTCGCGCCCTTTACCAAGCCCACGATCCAGACATGCTGACGTTTGCGCATAGATGACTTGAAGTACCACAGCAAAATCAATACCGAAGACCGCCAGCATGTGCCCATGTCGTGCAGTGATGGTCCCC